CCCCCTGTGGAGGCAACCCCGTGTGTTGGTGATGGTGCCCATTTCCAGGCCTCCAGCGCTGGGCAGCCCTTCGATCGATCAACAGGGGGCGGCGGATGGAGTGGCCCTGGGCCCATCCGGCCACCGTGCCCCGGTCGAGGGCGGGAGGCGTCTGGGATGCCCGTCGGGGTCTCTCGGGCCGCCTCTCGGGGGGCTTCTCGGGATGTCCCCCCGTGGATGGGAGCTCTTGGGCTCGAGTGGTACTTATGTCGTGTCAGTTCTGTTCTGGAGAGCGTCGATCCCTTGTGCCTGCATTGTGGGTCGGAGGCCTCCTCGATGTCTCATCTGCTGGGATGCCTCCTGGACGCCTCAGGAAACGCTCGAGATGGAAACTCGTGCTCCCGCTCTGCCTCTCTTGGAGCCCTTTCGTGGTCTTGGGCGCCTCTTGGGCCGTGTTGATGCTCTCTTGGGCCGTCTTGTGGCTTTCTTCGAGCCCTCTTGACCCGTATTGGGGCTATCTTGGGGGCTTCTTGGGCCGTTTTGAAACGTAGGAAGCCCCAAACCACGCGATAATGGTAGTATCCTTCAAACACAGATGTACAATCAATGAGTTTGGCCTCTCGGGGCCCTCTTGGGGGGCTCTTGTTGGGGGTCCCTTCGGCCGTTTGGAGGCGACATTTGGCGTCTTGGAGCACTATTGGGCTGACGCAGGGGCCTCTTGGACCATCTTGGGGGGGGTGCTATTGGAGCCCTCTTGATCCGTCTCGAGTCCACCTCGGATCCGAAAAGTCATGCGACAAATGCCATGGGCGCCACAAGTGCCCAGGATAGCCTGGAAGCGCCAGGAACTCCGGGCTGTGGGCCCCTGGAAGAATCCTCAAGACTGAGGACGGAACGCTCAAGGGACCTGGGGAAACCCCCATTCGCGCCTCGCGGCACGGCGGCGGGCTATCTGCCTGTGCGGGTGGAGGTGGCTCAGGCTTTGCCAAATTGCTGCAGCTGCTTGTCATTTATGGCCCCGCACCGTCCACGCAACCAACTCTTCAGCACGAAATGGTGGTCAAGAAGGTGGGATGAGTGAAGCTAGCACCCTCTGCATGAGTTCAAGCAACTACAGGCGGATACCTCAAAGTGCCATCGACATGCGCGTCCTCGGGGCAAGGGGATTCGCCACTCACGCAACGTGACCTGGGTAGCAGACCATTTCGTCAGCAATCCGACTGTCGGCGACTGGACACGGGTTGGTTGGGCTGGAGCAGCAGCGGTGGGAGGGGTCGGAGGAGGAGGCGGGGGAGGAAGAGCATCCCCCACTGCGTTTCCTCGTCGGCCTTCTGCCCGCAGCACGCTCCGCCTCCTCGGCGCAGCTGCCCGCGGTCGCGCGCCACAGGCGCTTTTGGCACGAGGCGGGCACGGCGTTCGTGCGGATGGGCTCTCTTCGAGGTATTTTTGTTCTGGACGCAAGCGTTGCCCGGGCGCAAAAGGCGGCCATCTCGACGGCGAGCGTGTGGGCAAGGGCGACGCCTTGGACCGCCCTGCCTGCGGCGGTGCCATGCCGATCTTGCCACCTCTGGGTGAGCAGCGCGACGGTGGTTCACCGAGCGCGTGCCACTGCTCGCAAAGTGCCTGCTCGCAAACCGTCCGGAAAGCACCTGTCTGCTGTGATGTACTTTCTCGTAGATCCCCCGAGGAGAATCCAGGCCATTTGCCAGTGGTTACTTTGCGAGTAGTGGAACGCGCTCGTCTAGTGGTCGCGGGGCCGCGGTCCCGCATGTTGATCAGCTCGTTGCGGCGGTCCAGGGGGTCTCCGTGGTCCTTCGAGGCTGCCGGTAGATGTGGTCGCGCCACGTCGCAGCGCAAGGGTTCACCTTGTCCAATGTAAGATTGGCCAGCCTGTCGTGCTCCACAGCACGACGCAGGATACCCAGGCCTCACCTCTTGCAGCAACCTGGCGTCGCCGAGCCTGCGGGCCGCAGGTGGTGGATTCCACGACGAGGGTCAGTTCAATCTGCTGATACTTGGCAATGGCGACTCTCCGAAACTTACAAGGACTGGAGTCAGGGCACTCCGAGGCGCCCCCAGCAATCATGGTGGGCAAGTGGCGATGCCGTGGCCCATCCATTCCTTCGTCAGCTCATTGATGCCAGTGGCCAGCCAGTGGATCTGAAATTCTTTACGCTTCGCGTATCCCCACCAGCCCATCTCACAGCAGCAACTCTTGCGAAGCATGCCGACAGTCGTGTTTTTCAGGCGTGTGTCCGCTTGGCCCCGCATATCTCCCCTGTTCCTCCTTCCTCCCGCCTCCTTGTACATCCTCCTTGTGGGGGGAGCGGGAGAAGGACGAGGCGGAGGAGGAGGGAGAGAAAGCGCTCCTCGTGATTTGAGTCGTTTGGGGTTTCTCGTCCTGGTGTGAGTCGTTCGGGCCCTTCTTCCTGGTGTGAGTCGTTCGGGCTCTTCGTGGTGTGAGTCGTTCGGGCTCTTCGTCCTGGTGTGAGTCGTTCGGGCTTCTCGTGGTGTGAGTTGTTCGGGCCCCTCGTCCTGGTGTGAGTCGTTCGGGCCCCTCCTCCTGGTGTGACTCGTTCGGGCTCCTCGTGGTGTGAGTCGTTCGGGGCCCGCGTCGTGGTGTGAGTCGTTCGGGCTCCTCGTGGTGTGAGTCGTTCGGGCGCCTCGTCCTGGTGTGAGTCGTTCGGGCCCCTCCTTGTGGTGTGAGTCGTTCGGGCTCTTCGTGGTGTGAGTCGTTCGGGCCCCTCGTCCTGGTGTGAGTCTCGGGCTCCTCGTGGGGCCTCTTGGGGGCCTCTTGGGGGCCTCTTGGGGCCTCTTGGGGCCTCTTGGGGGCCTCTTGGGGGCCTCTTGGGGGCCTCTTTGGGCCTCTTGGGGGCCTCTTGGGGGCCTCTTGGAGGTCTCTTGGGAGCCTCCTGGGGGCCTCTTGGGGCCATCTTGGGGCCTCTTGCGACCTCCTCAGAAGCGCAAATGATCGCTGCCCCCTGAGAAGGACGAAATGAGCCCAAAACTATTGTAAAATCAATGATTTTGCTATGAAGGAAGATGAGCGGGGCCCCGTCAGAAGGCCAAAGTGGGGCCGAAACCGTAGTAACATCAATGATTTTGGCTTCACAGAAGAGGAGAGGGTTTTTTCTCCCCCCCCCCCGTCGGGGCCAGAATCCTCGTGAGGGGTGTCGTTTTTTAGCCCTTCCAGGAGTCGAAATTGACTCCTCTGACGACCCGCGGGGCGCCCTCTCCAGGCCCAGGGGGAGGGGGTAGGGGGAGGGGTAAACCCCTTCCCGAAGGGGAAGAAGGGGGGTTGAGAACAGAGAGAGCTCCCTAAACCACTCACGCCCAAAGGGCTGGTTGGCCAGCCAGTGGATCTGAAATTCTTGACGCTTCGCGCATCCCCAGCAGCCCATCCAGAAACGATGCCCATGAGAGTTGACCGGGGGAGAGAGGAAGAGACACGCATAGTCAAACAGCGAGGGAGGCTTCGGAGGCTTCGCGGCCATCTCGAGCCGTCTTGGAACGGTCTCGGGGCCGCTTGGAGCATCTTGGGAGCCATCTTGAGCCAGCTTGGGCTATTTGAGCCATCTTGGAGGTCATCTTGGGCTGTCTGAGGCCGCTCGGGGGCCTCTTGGGGGCCTCTCGGGTGCTTTTTGGATGCCTCTTGGAGCTTCTTGGGGCCCTCTTTGGGTCCTCTTGGGAGCCTCTTGGGAGCCCTGGAGGGCTTCTTGGGGCCGTCTTGGGGGCGGTCGGTCAAAAGAGAGGGGGTACTCGATTTGCGTCCCCCCCCTCGGGGGCCACGATCCTCGTGAGTGGTGGCGCAAAATGGCCCTCCCAATGGCCGAAAAAGGAGCCTCCGACACTTCGCGATCCCTCCCAAAAATCCTCAGGGAGGGGATGAGGAGGATTCCCCTCCCCGACGGGAAGAGGGGTTGTGGAAGAGGAAAGAGACCCTCGTTAGACCACCTGTCGCCCAAAGGGCTGGTGGGACTCTTGAGCGTGGTTCTGGAATCATGCCACGCAGCCGAGACGCATCCACTGTGTGCAACCGCGAGACATCCTCAAAACCCACCTAGTTGGAATCATCACAGACAGGCGCGTTTCTTTGGGCGTCGCGTTGGCAATCTCTGCGGCCAGTGCCTCTGAGTCTGCGTTGCACACTACATCTGTCACCTGCACCCTAGGCGATGCTTAAGAAAACCTAAATTTTCGGCCAGGGCCTCGATTATTCTTAATGTTTGAGTGTAAATCCTAAGACGTTGATGGAAATTCAGGGTTTTTATTCAAGTTCTGAGACTCTGAATTTCTGAACCCACGATTTCTTAAGCATTTCGCAGGGTGTGGACCTCCAGCATAACCTTTGACCAACTCCACCTTGCGAGATCTCGGCCGGCACCCTGCCGAGACGGTCTCGACGAGGAGCTCAGCTAGGGCGCCTGCGCTCGCCCTCGCGTCTCGCTCGGAAGCCTCCGCCGACCATCACCCGCCCACGATCTCGCCGCCGCCGCCGCCTGCGCCGCCGCCGTCGTCGTCGTCGTCGTCGTCGTCGTCGTCGTCGTCGTCGTTGTCGTCGCCGCCGCCGTCGTCGTCGTCGCCGTCGTCATCGTCGTTGTCACTCGTCGTAGTTATCGTCGCTATCGTCGTTATCGTCGTCGCTCGTCGCTCGTCGCTCGTCGCCGTCGCCGTCGCCGTCGCCGTCGCCGTCGTCGTCGTCGTCGTCGTTGTCGTCGTCGTCGTCGTCGCTCCGAGGCCTCCGCCGACCATCGCTCGCCAACGACCTCGCCGCTGCCGCCGCCTGCGCCGCCGTCGCCGTCGCCGTCGCCGTCGTGTCGTCGCTCTGAAGCCTCCGCCGACCATCGCTCGCCAACGACCTCGCCGCCGCCGCCGCCTGCGCCGCCGTCGTCGTCGTCGTCGTCGTCGTCGTCGTCGTCGTCGTCGTCGTCGTCGTCGTTGTCGTCGTTGCTCGTCGTCGCCGCTCCAAGGGCCCCCGGGGGTCCACGGCCTCCGCCGCCCCCCCCCCGCCACGCCGGCAGGCGGCCGAGGAGCGCGTCGCGGCGGAGGCGGACATGGCGGCCGGGAAGGCTTGGCGCCAGCGGGACCCAGGCCCCCCCCGGGCCTCCAACGCGGGGGAGGAAGCTCAGAGGGGGAAAAAGGTACCATACCGCTACCCCCTTTGCCCCGTTTTCCCGTTGAGCCTCCCGGGAGGCCCTCGTCGCCACCGCTGGATTCGCCTCGGAATCCTGGTCAGAACGCGCCCCAGGAGAGGTCCAGGGAGTAGCTCGGGGGAGGAATTCCGAGCATTCTCTTTGGGTGGAGGGCAGAGAGCGAGATCTGACGTGTCGCGTCGATTGGTTTTCGAGGCTTGGAGCTGCAGATGCAAGAGGGTGAGTCACAGGTCGGGTTGATTTTGGTGGTGCAATAGCCCATATGGATTTCACCCTAGAATCAGCGAGCGAAGAACGGTATAACATAAACTTTTTCGCTGTCGGGGGCGCCTGTCCCTGGGCGGCTGTCCCTGGGCGGCTGGGCTGTCTCCGTAGGGGTATAAACTTTCCAGCCGCCCAGGGGCAGGTGTCCCCGACGGCGAAACAGTTTATTCTAAACCGTTCTTCGCCCGTTAAAATAGCCAATATGGATTTCACCCTAGAAAGTGGCTGAAACGGTGCTAAATGCCGCCATGCCCTTGCCTCGGCGCGGCGGCCGTGTGTTCGCCCTGCGAATGTCCTGGCAAACGCGCGGGCATGCCGGGGCTGGGAGAGGTCCGTGGAGCTGTCCTTTGTCTCGGGAGGGGGGCAAGAGGCACGCACAGACGCAAGGAATCGTCGATCCCCAGGAAGATAGGGGAAAAATATGAGTCAGAGTCCCGAATCATCAGGGGTAACTCGGGTCAGGGTTAACTCGGGTTCGTTTTTCGGGAATCCGAACCCGAGTTACCCCGGACCCGAGTTACCCCGGATAATTCGGGCGTCCAGAGCCCCAAAATCATCAGGGGTAACTCGGGTCAGGGCTAACTCGGGTTCGTTTTTCGGGAATCCAAACCCGAGTTACCCCGGACCCGAGTTACCCCGGATAACTCGGGCGCCCAATCGTCGATCCCCAGGAAAATAGGGGAAAACATGAGAAGTGGGGGGAAGGCGGAAACCCTGAAACCGTGGGAAATCTGGGGCATCCTGGGATTTGTGTCTACTCCAGATTTCGTGATAAAAGGGATGGGGGTCTGGACCCTCCAAGACAAGCCATTTCAGACCTCCCCCGTGGGAGAACCCTCCAAAACATCGTCCCCAGACCCCCCCAGGCCCTCCAAGATAGCCTGGAAGAGACCCCCCCCGAAATGAGACCCCCCTCCCTTTATTACGATATCTGGAGTACCTATTGGTGTTCCTGGGTCCCTTCATAGGGGACTCGTGGGGAGAGGCTTCCTCGCCCCGGCATGCCTGCCAGCAGGGCCGGCTCGCCGAGGAGCGCTCCCCTGGCGCTTCGCCCGAGGCATCCTCGAGAGGGGCCACTGGAGGGCCCAGGTTTGTGCTCCGCTAAAACGACGCGAAGATCGGGACAACATCGGATCGGGATAACTCGAAATCTCCGAGAAACGGCGGGTTTGGAGGATGTGTTGGGCGCCGCGGCCGCTCCAGAGCGTTCCGGAACGCCCTGAGAGCGCTCCGGAACGCTCTGGAGCGATTTCTCCCGATCCTAGCCCTGTTTTATCCGAGAGCCAGACCTTCCTCGGGTGAGCACCTGTGGGCGCGGGGGTGCTGCGCCTCCCGGGTCGGGCAGAAGTCAGAGCGTGAATTACCTACCCCGCTTTCGCTTCCGGGCAAGACCAAGCCATACCACGCGCCTCCTCGTCAAGCGGCCTGACCAGTACAGGCCGTAGTTTGGCATCGTTTGGTATCTCTTGGAAGCGAGGGTGGTCAAAAGCGAGGTAGGTTTGCTTTCCCCCCAAGAAGGGGGGGATCATCGGAAAGCCCTGAGTGAGGGAATCGATGGGCACAGTGCCGGGGCTCTGCTCTGATGGGGTTGCCCGGAAGGGGGTCCAGCGACAAGGGGGTGGTGCAATAGATTTGGTGCAATAGATCTGTGGGGTTGCAATACAATTGGGGCGTGCAGTATATTTCGGGGCGCAGCTGTATTGCTGTATTTTCGCGTGCAACACGTTACTTAGAAGACAATGTAAAGCAATCATCTGGCGCAGTAAATCTGCAAGCGAACGCTGCTGCGCGGCCAGTTTCGGCCCCGCCGCCAGTCGACATGTCCTCGAGGCAGTGGCGCCTCGGGCGCCAGGAGGCGCTGGGGGATCAGGTGCATGAGCTGATTCGTTAACTTTCCTTTCTCTTTAGCCCTCTCCGGGTCCTCTTATCCCTTTTGAAGTCCCCTGTATTCGACGTCATCCCAACATACTTACACTATATGTGCGTCGCCCCCCCAGGGGCGACGCGCGCACCGATACATCTTATAGTATATGCGTCGTGGCGGGCGCTTTTGGCCACAACGCTCGGGAAACGATGTACTACAAGATGGGTATACTATATGTTCGGGTCGGACGCGCGCCTCCAAGGAGGACATACAGTCGGGGCCCTGAAGAAGGAACCCTTTTGATTGGGGAGGGGCTCCGCGTTCCTTAAGTGTTTCACAGCCTGCCTCAGGTTTTCCTTATGTTTTCGATAGGAAGTCGACGTTTAACTTATGGAAAAAGGGGCCTCGTTCCTTGTTTTGGGTTCCTTAGGTAAAGGCCCCGACTGTACACTGTCCTCATGTGGGTGGGCGGTCCGTGCCAGTGCCTGTGCTCCCACTCGATCGCTGGTGACAGGGTTTGTTGACCCCAGCTGTGGTGATGCCATCTGAGCGACGCAATACGCCGGGGCCGTTTGTGCCGACACTGGCGCGTAACATTCCCGCGTGAGGTCGCGCGTTAGCGCCCTCGTCTCCAGTGTGGCGTGCCGCGCCCCTGGCCCCGCGTGAGCCAGCGCGTAAGGTTGCTGTGCCATTTCGCGCATTGCTCCCTCCATGGCAGGATCAAAAAGGCGAGGGTGAAGGCACCCCCAGGACGGCCCAAAGAGGCGACTCGGGGGGCTCTGAGTGGAGGACCTGCTTCTTTTGATCGACTCCCTTCAAGACTGCCCCACGAGGCCTTCAGGGCCCCCAAGAGGCCCCCGCGAGGGTTCCGGGAGGGCCCCACTACCCCCCCCCACAAGAGCCCCAGGAAGGCCCCAAGGCCCTCCAAAATAGCCGCAAGAGGGCCGCGCGAGAGCCCCACGCGGATCCCAAGCGGGCCTCCAGAAGACCCCAAGGCGGCCGCCAGAGCCTCCCTTGTCCCTCCTCCGCACCCCCTGCCTGGGTCCGCACCCGTTTTGGCTTGAGTGGCCAGCCGGGGCCCTTGAGCCAGACGCGCGGCACCACCTGGGGGCCCCCGCGGGCAGCCCACCGCGATGGCGCACAAGTCCAACCCGTACAAGAAGGCGCGCTCGATGTTCCGGTGGAAGTGGAAGAAGAAGAGGACGCGCCGGCTGCAGAAGAAGCGCCGCAAGATGCGCCAGCGCTCGAAGTGAGCGGCGCGGGGGCCCGACGCAGCTCATCGGGCGGGGCTAGGACAGGGGCAATTCTTTCCAGAGCGTTCCGGAGCGCTCTCTGAGAGTTCTGGAGCGCTCTGGAATGGCCGCGGCGCCCGATACATTCTCCTGAACTGCCGGGTCTCAGAGATCCCCGCGTCATCCCGGTCCAGTTTTGTCCTGGTCCTAGCGGCGCCTCTCGGCTAGCCCGCCCCGTGGGCGTGCTCTGGGGGGGGTGCAGGAGGGCGTTTTTTGGTTCCGGGGCGACAGCAGGCTTTGCCAGCGCATGGGGGGCGTGGGGGCTGGTCACGTCACGTGTCGCGTGGGAATGTCTGGGAACAATCAAGGCCAACTCGGAGGTCCGCACGAATCGTGACGTGACGTGGGGGGGGGGGGCGGCGGGCAGGGCAGGCAACGGCTGCTGCCGCGGTGAGTATGAAAACGCTCTCCAGACGGCGCGAGCTTCGGACTGCTAGGGCTTCGCGCGCTCGGCTGCCGCGGTGGCGGTTGCGCTCGTGCGCTCGCGCTGCCCGCCCTCGCCCGTCCGGGCCAGCGGAACGGTGCAGGTCTGCTTGCGCCCGCGTGCCCTCCGCGAGGCTCTGAAAGCACAGGAAGAGCGAGCTGCTCTCCCCCTCGCCCAGGGGGGCGAGGAGAGCGAGAAATGATGATGATGATGATGATGATGATGATGATGATGATGATGATGATGATGATGCTGATGATGATGATGGTGGTGGTGGTGGTGGTGGTGGTGGTGGTGATGATGATGATGATGATGCTGCTGCTGCTGATGATGATGATGATGATGATGATGATGATGCGGATGCTGATGCTGATGCTGATGCTGATGCTGATGATGATGCTGATGATGATGGTGCTGATGCTGCTGATGATGATGATGATGATGATGGTGGTGATGATGATGATGATGCTGATTATGATGATGATGATGATGATGATCATGATGATGATAACCATGACGACGATGTCGATGACGATGATGATGCTGATGATGATGATCATGCTAATGATCATGATGCTAGCTAGATCCTGACGATTCTGATGATGATGATGATGATGATGCTGATGCTGGTGCTGATGCTGATGATGATGATGATGATGATGATGATGATGATGATGATGATGATGATGATGTTGATGATGATGATGATGATGATGATGATGATGATGGTGGTGGTGGTGGTGGTGGTGGTGATGATGATGATGATGATGATGATGATGAGGAGGAGGAGGAGGAGGAGGAGGAGGAGGAGGAGGAGGACTGAGGATCGAGGTTTTGGAGCTTTTGGGCCGTCCAGGGCTCGGGGGCATCCGAAGGACCTTGTCACGTTCGGTCACCGACGCTTCTGCAGCAGCCGCCGTCGTCGTCGGGTCATCCCTCGTTGTCGTCGTTGTCGTGAATCCCTGGCCTCGGCTTCTGCCCGTCCCCCGCCCCCGCGTCTCTCTTCCGTCCGGCCTCTCTAGTCTCCCCCCTCCTCCCTCCCCAAGGCATAGGGCTTTCTGCGGTTCGGTCAATTCAGCTGCGTTGCAGTCGGTTGAGCTCGAGTGCTTCGGTTCGGGTTTGATCGGTCGGTTGCCGCATCGGCGTTGCGCCGCTGCGCTCTTCTGGGATGCCTGCGGCCTCGGTCGGTTTTGGGCTCGCTGTCGGCTCTGCCTTTTTTTGTCGGTTGCACCATCGCCGTGGACGGCATTGGCCTCCGCCTCCCTCCACTCTCTTGAGGGGGGATTTTCCGAGGGCTACGCTTCTTGTCTTATCGCCCAGGTTCGGCTTCTTCACCAGCCTCCCTCCCCTCTCTTCCACCGCCTCCCTCCCCCACCTCGCCTTCGCTCGTCGTCGTCGTCGTCGTCGTCGTCGTCGTCGTCGTCATCGTCATCACCGCCGCCGCTGCTGCCGCCACCGCCGCCGCCGTCATCTCCGCCGCCGTCATCGGCGATCTCGTCGCCTGACGTCCGTCAGCCTTTCGGAGGGGGTGCCTGCTTTGATGGAGACGGACGCCGGGAACCGGGAAGGAAGTGCGCGGAGCAGAGGACGGCTGGTTTCCCCGACGCTGGTTTTGCCCGGCTGGTTTCGCCGACCCGCCCGCTTGTTTCGCCCGTCTGGTTGCGCCGATCCGCCCGTCGCTGCCGTCGTTGTTCGTCGTCGTCGCCATCGTCGTTCGCTTTCGTCGTCGTCGCCGTCGTGGTCGTGGTCGTCGTCGTCATCCTCCTCCGTGGTCGGCCTCCTTCGTCGTTCTCCGTCGTCGTAATCCGTCGTCGTCCTCCGTCGTTGTCGTCGTTGTTGTCGTCGTCGTCACTGTCGACAATGCCGTCGTCGTCGTCGTCGTCGTTGTCGTCGGTCGTCGGTCGTCGGTCGTCGTTCGTCGGTTGTCGTTCGTCGTTCGTCGCTCGTCGGTGGTCGGCGTCGTCGTTGCCGTCGTCACCGTCGTTGTTGTCGTCGCCGTTGTTCGGGTCCCGCCCGACTGTGTGCTAGCAGGCCCGCCCGCCCGCTTGAACGTCCCGCCCGTCCGACCCGCCTGCCAAGGCCCCGCACGCCCGACCCGCCCGTGAGGGTCCCGCCCGCCCGACCCGCCTGTTGGGGTGTTAGGGCCCCGCCCGCCCAACAATCCTCTTAGGGCCCCGCCCACTCGACCCCGCCGTTAGGTCCCGCCCGCCCTACCCGCCCGTTCGGGTCCCGCCCGTCCAGCCGTACCGTCAGGGTCCCGCCCGCCCCACCCGCCAGTCAGTTGCCCGCCCGACAACGACGACGACGGCGGAGGCGACGATGACGACGACGACGACGAAGGCAACGACGACGAGGACGCCGACTTGCGCCCCGGCGAAGCCAGCCGTCGACGAAACCAGCCCCGGCAAAACCAGCTGTCGGCGAAACCAGCCTCGGCCAAACCAGCCGTCGACGAAACCAGCCCCGGCGAAACCAGCTGTCGGCGAATCGATGATGGTGCTGACGACGATGGTGGTGGCGCCGCTGCTGCTACTGCTGCTGCTGCTGATGATAATGATGACGACGACGAAGAGGATGATTATGATGATGATGATGACGATGCTGATGATGATGATGATGATGATGACGATGATGCCGCTGGTGATGATGCTGATGGTGATGATACTGATGATAATGATGCTGATGCTGATCATGATGATACTGATTGCAGATGATGATGCTGAGGATGATGGATAATTTAGATAATGAGGACGGGGACGGTGATGATGATGGTGATGACGATGGCGATGACAACGATGCTGATGATGCTGATACTGATGACGACTACGAAAATGACGAATGACGATGTTTCGATGAAGACTCTGATGATGATGATGATGATGATGATGATGATGATAACCATGACGACGATGCCGATGACGATGATGATGCTGATGATGATGATGATCATGCTAATGATCATGATGCTAGCTAGATCCTGACGATTATGATGATGATGATGATGATGATGATGATGATGATGATGATGATGATGATGATGATGATGATCAGGAGCATGATCATAGCGCTTGAGTTTGTTATCTTGATGCTGCTTTTTCGAATGTTGATGCATACGATGATGATGATGGCGATGACGATGTCGATGAAGATGATGGTGCAGCTGATTCTAAGGATGACTTTGACGAGGTCTATTGTGATGATGGTAGTGATGATGATGGTGATGCTGATGAAGATGACGATGTTGACGATGATGGCAATGTTGGTGATGGCGACGACGACGACGATGATGATGATGCTGACGATGACGATGACGATGACGACGATGACGATGACGATGATGATGATGATGACGATGATGATGACGATGATGATGATGATGCTGACAACGGTGATGACGATTATGGTGGTGATGATGCCGCTGACGACAATGATGATGATGCTCATGATGACGATTATGCTGCTGCTGCTGATGATGACGCTCATGCTGCTGCTGACGATGACGATGCCGATGACGACGACGATCGTAATGGTAACGTTGATGACGATGATGCGCATGCGGATACTGTCGGTGGCGATGATTATTGAGATGATGCCGATTATGATGAGGATGAGGATGGTGATGATGATGGCGACGATGATGATGATGATGATGATGATGATGATGATGATGATGATGATGATGATGATACTGACGATGATGATGATGATGATGATGATGATGATGATGATGATGATGATGATGAAGATGAAGATGCAAATGAAGATGATGGTGCTGATGCTGATGCTGATGATGATGGTGATGCTCGTGATGCTGATGAGACTGGTGATGACTGTGCTGACGATGACGAGGCTGATGATGCTGTTGATGCTGATGTGGTGACTATGCTGACGATAATGATATTGATACTGACGATGAGGCTGATGCCGAGAATGCTCACGCTGGTTCTTAAGATGATGGCGATGCTGATGATGACGATGCTGTTGTCGGCGATGACAATGGTTGATGGTGGTGACGACGATGCTGACGATACGATGCCGATGTTGATGATCACGAATTCGATGACGACGACGACGATGCCGATGACAACTCTGGTGGTGATGACGGCGTCACCGACGGCGATTAGGATGATGATGATGACGATGTTACTGACGATACTGATGTTGGTGACGCTGATGCTGGTTGTCCTATGATGATGGCGGCGCTGACGACGATGATCATGATGATTCTGATGATGAAGATGCTCATGGTCTGCTGATGGTTACGATGATGATGACGATGATGATGATGCTGATGATGATGGCGATGATGATGCTGACGCTGCTCAACGTGTCGATGATGATGCTGATCATGGTCGCGGCGGTGATTCTGATGATGTTGCCAATGCTGACGATGGCGACGAGGACGTTCGCGATGCTGATCATGACGACGATCATGATGCAGGTGATACTATTGTTCAGGACGGTGATGATGACGATGATGATGATGATGATGATGATGATGATGATGATGATGATACTGGTAACCATGATGAAAAGGATGTGTTGGATGCCGATGATGACGATGTCAGCTGCGATGACGATGACGACGATGATGATGAGTATTGTGATGATGGTTGGGGTTACGACGATGACACCGACGACGTCGGTGATGATGATGATGCTGATGATGGTGGTGGTGGTGGTGATAACGATGGCGATAGCGATACGATAACGACCACGACGATGATGAGGACGACGGTGACGATGACGATGACGACGCTGATGACAATGGTGACGATCGCGATAACAATGGTGATGATGATGATATGATGATGTTGATGATGCTGATGCTGATGCTGATGCTGCTGATGATGATGATTACGATGACGATGACGATGATGATGGTGATGATAATGATGATGATGATGATGATGATGGACATGGTGATGCTGATGATTGTGATGATGAGGCTGGTGATGATCATTCTGATAAGGACGATTATGATGATGGCGATGACGATCATGATGACAATGAAGAGGAAGGGGATGGCAATGATGATTCTGATGATGATTCTGATAATGATGATGATGATGCTGATGATGATGCTGATGATGATGATGATGATGATGATGATGGTGATGATGATGATGATGCTGATGATGCTGATGATGATGATGGTGGTCACGATTGTGATGACGCTGATGCTGATGATGAGGATGGCGATGACGATTTCGATGCTGCTACTGCTGATAATGATGCTGACCATTACGAGGAAGAATAATAATACGCCGCTTTTGGTGGTGGTGGTGGTAGCTACGATGAAGATGAAGATGAAGATTTCTTATTTTTGACTCTCCCTGGTGCAGGGTTTTGTTTGGCTTTGTTACCGGGTTCTAGTTCGATTGCCCAATCTACGGTCTCGGCTGTTCGTGTCGGTTTGGTTCTCCGCCATATTGCCACGTGATGAGTGTACGGTAGGGAACTTTGGCTAGCGCGGCGCGCCGTTGCTTCTGGCCTGCCACGCTTAACCACGTCCCGACCTGGTCCCAAGGCGTCAACTTGTCGAGCGTGTCTTAGCCTTTTTCTCCCCCCCCGCGAAGCGGGGCGACAGGCGATCCTCTTGCCAGGCATGCAGGTGTCGTCGGGGGGACGTCGTCGCGACACGCTGCACATTTTCAGCGTTTTCGCTCACCCATCACCTCCCTGCTCCTCCTCCGCTCCTGCTCCTCCTCACCCCTCGCCTCCCTCCTCTTCTTCTTCCTCCTCCTCCTCCTTGGGCAGGTGCCCTGTCCATGCCCCCCTCCCCCCCCCCACCGAAGAGCGGCCGAGGTCGGCCGGCCGATGGCGCCGGCTGGGCCCAGCCCAGGGCGATGGCCATGCCCTCCTGCTCGGGCGCGATCCTGAACGACCACCTCGAGCGCGTCCTCCTGAGCGTGGTGCCGCGAGGGAGGGGCGGTCTCCTCCTTCGGCTCCTCCTCGCTTTCTCTTCCGTCCCTCCATCCCTCCGTCTTCTCCTCGATCCCCCTTGGTCCCCTCCTCGTCTCTCTCCTCCCCTCACTCCTGCTCCTCTTCCTGTCTGGAGGAGCGTGGAGGAGTCTGCAGGAGGCTGGCGCAGCGCATTCGGGAACCCCCCAAATAGCGAAATGCCTCCGCGTTGCTTGCCCTTCAATTCCGCTGGAGACCTGGGGAGAGCCTGGGGTCAGGGGCAACGTCATGGAGGGATAGGCTCAGGGGGGAACGCATCGACCACCCCTTGCCGGTCGGTCGCCGATAGGCACCCAGTAGCCCTTCCCACTCGGGATTTTGCGGACTCGCTATTGGGTGCCTATCGCCGATGAGTCGGCAACGTGTCACCGATTCCAGGTCGATGTTTCCACCCTGAGCCGTTCCCCCCTGCCGTTCCCCCTCAGAAACGAGGAAACGTTAGGGGCGGATGGGGAAGGGGAGTTGGGGCAAGTTCTGTGGGCTCTCGGAGGCTCTCGGCGGCTTTCGAGTGGTTTCCGATGCTTTCTGAAGCTCCCAGGAGGGATAAAAGGAGGAGGAGGAGGAGGAGGAGATGAGGACCAGTGTAAACCTAGGACTCATCAGCGACGTTGGAATAAACCCTCCCTCCAAGCTCCCTCCTCATAGGCTCCTACATTGGTTCACTTCCACTGAGGGAAGTGCCCGGTCGGGAGAGAGCCGTTTGAGAATCCTGGAGCGTGCTAAGACACCATGCTCGACTCCAACGCTACGAATCAACGTGACTGTCGCGTATTGGCGATTCTGAATCGTGTCAGAGCGCTGTTCCTGGCGCTAATCCACGTAACTGCTGCGCCCTAGAAATCTTGAATCGTTCCAGAACATTTCTCTGGAACTTGAAGCATGAGACGCCGTGAAGCTTTTCATTTTGCAGACGAATGTGCGCGGCGCGACGGCGAGAGCCACATGTTGAAAAGGAGCCGCCCTCCATCAGTGAAGCGTTTGTTCTTTGTAAGCGACTGTGCGTGGCGCTATCACGAAATCCACATTTGGGAAGCGACCCGCCCTCCACTGTTGAAGCTGTTGCCAATCTATAAGCTTCAGGGTCATAAATGGTGAGGAAGTCTCAGGCGAAACGCCGGGCCCGCCCTTCCGACTGGCCTCGGGGAGTGACAGGGAGGAGTTTTCTGTAATTGGGAAAAAGAATTGAGGAGGAAGAGGATGATCAGGAGGAGGAGGGTGAGGAGGAGGGAGGAGACGGATGAGAGGAATTTAGAGGGCATATGAAGCGAGAGGGGGGGAGTGTGATGCCCCTCCCTGGTCCCCGTGGCCGCTGCCGCTGTTCTCTCCCCCCCCGCTCCTCCTGCTACACCCTGCGACTCCTTCCTCCTCTCTCCCCGACGTCGTCCGCTGCTCCCTCCCGCTCCTGCTCCCGAGCGGGGTGCTCGGGCTGCGCGGACGCTCGAGCCCTGAGGGCGGCTGACCGCGAAGGCCTCTGGGCATACCCCGGGCGGTGCCCGCGGCGCGCCCTCTCCGCACGCGTGCCGCACCCGGCCGCATGCTCGGGCCGGTGCGGCCTGGCCGGTCCCCCTGCGCCGCTGCTGCGCCGCTGCTGCGCCGCTGCTGCGCCCTCCCGTGGGCTGCTCGCGGCCTCTCGGCCTCGGCCGGTCTCTCTCGCGGCCCCCCGGCCGCGGCCAGTCTCCCTGCTGCCGCTCCGCTCGGCTCTCCGCCGTGGTGTCGAGGTGGGCTCTCCGAGGAAGGGGCCTCGGCTTGGCCCGTGGCTGCCACCTGGGGCACGGGTCTTCGGGACCTCAGCGGGCGGTGCATCTGTACCCATCCGGGCCCTGGGGGAAGGGCCACTGTAGGGGGCCGCACGCGAACCCTGCCCCTACCCGCCACGGTTTCTGAGGGGGAGGGTGGGGTTCACTTCGCTTGGGAGCTCCCGAGCGAAGTGAACCCCACCCTCCCCCTCAGAAATCGTGGGGGGTAGGGGCAGGGTTCGCGTGCGGCCCCCTACAATTGTATCCCCGTCCCCCGCCTGCTGGGGTCCCCGAGGGCCGGTTCCATCAGGCGGCGGTTCCGAAGCAGATCCCAGTCTCTCGCCGTGGGCGGCGCGCGCCGAGGGGCGCGCACGGGCGGCGGCGGGAGTTTGTCGAGGCCCGGGCCGTCGTGGCAGAGGGCTGCCGAGAGCGGAAGGCGTAAAACGACGCGAAGAGCGGGACAAAATCGGATCGGGATAACTCGAAATCGCTGATAATCGGCGGGTTTGGAGGTTGTATTGGGCGCCGCGGCCGCTCCAGAGCGTTCCGGAACGCTCTGAGAGCGCTCCGGAACGCTCTGGAGCGATTTATCCCGATCCTAGCCCTGTTTTAAGGCGGTGTTGGCCGATCGGGGACCTCTGGGGGGTTCCAGGCGGCTGCTTGCACAGCACCAGCTTCCGAACATGGATTTTTCCAGAGGGTGTCTCAAGCGAGAACGACGATTTTGAGGGTCAGAGTTGTAGTAGCATCTTCGACTCATGGAGAGGAGGGTTCTGCTAGGGTCGCCCCCGGTGCCGGGGGGAGCTGGCGACCAAGAGTCTGGTTACAAAACAAACGAGAACTTGCCATATCAGCAAATAGCGCCCAGAAGCGCCCGCCCAGAAGCGCCCACTTGCGCCGAAGAGCGCTCAATGGGGCGCCCAGTAGCAGCCGATAGCGCCCACTAGGGCCATGCGAGGGAGATACATTCTGTCGGCTTTGCGCCCGGTTGGGGGCGCTATTCGGCGCCATATGGGGCCACAACCAGCTTCTGGGAGCTGGTTTCTGGAGCCGTTTCAGCGCGACCCTGATCAGGATTTGCTTTTGTTGTTGTTGGTGGTGTTGTTGTTGTTGTTGTTGTTGTTGTTGTTGTTGTTGTTGTTTATGTTGATGTTGTTGTAGTTGTTGTTGTTGTTGTTGTTGCTGATGTTGTTGTTATTTTTAATGTTACTGTTGCTGTTGTTGTTGGTGGTGGCGGTGTTGTTGTTGTTGTTGTTGTTGTTGTTGTTGTTGTTGTTGTTGTTGTTGTTGTTGTTGTTGTTGTTGTTGTTGTTGTTGTTTGTGTTGTTGTTGATGTTGTTGTTGTTGTTGTTGGTGTTGTTGTTGTTGTTGTTGTTGCAGTTGTTAGTAGTAGTAGTAGTAGTAGTAGTAGTAGTAGTAGTAGTAGTAGTATTAGTAGTAGTAGTCGTAGTCGTAGTCGTAGTCGTAGTCGTAGTCGTAGTAGTAGTAGTAGTAGTAGTAGTAGTAGTAGTAGTAGTAGTAGTAGTAGTAGTAGTAGTAGTAGTAGTTGTTGTTGTTGTTGAATTCTCATTTCTGAAGAATAATTGTTGTTGATCCCCCCCACCGGTGCATACTGTTTTTTCTCAATCAAAGCGTGCCCCTCGACGCTGGCACCCTGTTTGTTGACAGGGAAAGTTTTCCTGCTCAAACTGGCCCCTTGGCCCCCGGGTTACAACAACAACGGCTCCCGCCTGAGACTTCCTTACAATTTAGCCAGGACCCCCGCTCCCGCCGCCCGAGACTTCCTCGCATTTTATTCAGGAATCGCGCTCTCGCTTGGGACTTCCTTACAATTTATTCAGGAATCGCTCTCCCGGCGCTCTGGAGTCGCGCGCTGGAGATTTGCTTGCAACTTGCTGAAGAATAGCCTTGCGTTAGAATTTCTTGCAATTTGCCTTTCAGCGCCGCGCTCCCGACACCCAGGCACACAGGAGTCGCGCCCGTTGTGGTCCCATGTGCATGCCCTTCGTGGCCCCGCTGTCGCTATTTGTGCCCCCCTCACTGTCCTACGTGGCCCAGTTGCTACCCTCAGTGGCCCCATAGTTGCTTTCTGTGGCCCCGCATTATCTGCACTTCGTGGCCCCCCGCTCGTTCGCGCTCTTCGTGGCCCCATACGCATTCCCTTCGTGTCCCCGCTGTCGCCCTTCGTGGCCTACTTCGTGCCCTTCGTGGCCCTGTTGTCGTTCTCTCTCGCTCTTGCTTTCGCTCGTCGTCGCCGTCGTCGTCGTCGTCGTCGTCGCCGTTGTCTTCGACGTCGTCGTCGTCGTCGTCGTCGTCGTCGTCGTCGTGGTCGGTCCCCTGTCCGTCCTTCTTGGGGTCGGGTCGACGGTCCGCGGCCGCCCCGCCGATCAGCGCTGCCGCTGGCCAGGCCGACTGTCCGCGGCCGCCCCGCCGCTTGCCGGGGCCCGGCCTGCAGGGAGGAAAGGTATACCCCCTCAAAGGGGTTCGATCGAAGACGAAGAGGGCGGGTATCGAGGGTTCGGGAAATACGCGTTATTGGACACTCGAGCATATAAGGGCGAACGGTCTTAACAGTAGTATTGTTGTTGTTGTTGTTGTTGTTGTTGTTGTTGTTGTTGTTGTTGTTGTTGTTGTTGTTGTTGTTGGTGTTGGTGTTGTTGTTGGTGTTGTTGTTGTTGTTGTTGTGGTTGTTGTTGTTGTTGTCGTTGTTGTTGTTGTTGTTGAACATTATTACTTCTAAATAATATTTATTGTTGGGACCCCTGGTGCACGACCCCCCCGCCGCGCCTAGGCCGCAGCCACATTTTCATCATTTTCGTGAGGAAGTCTCAGGCAAAACGGGTTGGTCCGGATCCGGTTGTTTTGTTACGGCCCGCTTTCCCTTGCAAAAAATAAGCTAAAGTGGACATTTCTTGTTCTAACATAACCAAACTTCAAGAATCCCTTGCAAAAAATAAGGTAAAGTGGACATTCGCGCGCGCAAGACGAAATCCTTCCAAAACCTTAGTTTTCGTAGCGATTTTAACATAAAAACATCAAAAAAACATTTTTTTTAATTGTCAAAATTTCATCCCGCGCGCTCTTGCGGATTCGTAGGAAACCCAACACTTTTTAACATTTCTGTCAAACGGGCTTTTGCGAGCAACTTTTTCGAACTTCTGCAACAACGGTTGCGCACCTGCCAGGGCCATCATCCCTGTCAAATAATACCATGC